AATTTGCAAACCTTTGAGCGTTTGATACCACAAATGCTTCGAGAGCCCATCTCGTGTAGCAAACCTTTGAGATTGAGTCTACGATTTTGTTGTCATTTGTACTGGTGGCAATCAGAGTCAGAACCACTGGAAGCAACACTGACCACTACACAAAGACAAAGACAAAGATGTGAAACAAAGCTCTCTAGTCTGAATCTTTGCTTATTGGACACTTACCAGTTGAGCTGGACCAGGTTCGAAGAGTATGGCCAGGGCATAAGCTATGCCAGTCACACAGTAAACAAGACAGATTAAGACAATATAATTGTCTGTAACGGTTGATCTCGGATTGTTGAAGAAGTAGAACATGGAGAGATATACAAGCGGCTTGACAATGGTGTTGAAGTGATCCACTGTGTCTTTTGCTAAGAAGTAAGCCAGGCTGCTCATTCCGGCTCGGCTTTCTCTCCAGTAGTGTAGTTTATCCAGAGAGAACGATCTCAATGCAGTAATCTTACACAACAGAGCTGCAAAAACAAGAAAAATTTGGTATACAAGGGTTGGAAGAAAGAAACAATTTGTTGTCTGAAGAGTTTGAGATGTTTCTGCTTACAAACTGCAATGACTGTATATGTATATCCCATGGCACCAAACGTTTCATCGCTCACTTTAGCTAGCGTTCCTAAGCAGATACCAGCAAGCAAAAGTATAAGGTAATCTACAGCTAGTGTCCTTGCTTCTCTCAGTCTCTGTTTACCTAACCTGCAAAGGCACACAGATTGAGAGTTTAAGCAAAGTTGATTGATTTTTGCAAACTATTTTGAGAGAAGTTTTTGCATTACCTTCCTAAGAAGTATCTGAATTGCTGAAACACACCAGGAACATCTCTTTCAGATAAGTCACCTGAGTTACTGAAGTTATTCTGCAAGTTATCTTTCTTGATCTCAACATTTGCCTTGACATCTTGCCAAAACTCTCCAGCGAAAGATGTTCCATCATCTCCCACAACGCTCCCGTGAGCGCTTCCTCCATGAGCAGAGTTCTCAGCAGAAGCAGAAGAAGCCATCCCTTCAATGCTTTTGAGCATGTCCATAGGAACTTGATAACCATTATGAAGCATCCATCTAACTGGAAGCTGCTTGTAAGTAACACCTGAGCTTGTGCTTGGCTTTAGTATGCCTTCCAATATATCAATGTAGTAATCAGGAGGATTCACACGCTCCGGAACAACGATCCCTAGGCTCGAGAAGTATTCTTCAACTTTCTTGACTGATCCTTGGTAACATATCAGCCCACCTTTTGCTAACAATATCAGATCATCAAACATCCGGAACAGAGTGTAGCTGCAGAGAAAGACAAAGGATACAAATGAGAAACAAGAACTAATCCTCTATTTTAGTATTAGCCAAAGTATGTTATCATGTTGAACCTTGGTTGATGGACAACCATACAGATGTTTACTCCTTCAAGAGCTTCACGGCGTAAAGCTCTGAGAAGCAACTGAGAAGATGAGCTGTCAAGCCCTGAGGTTGGCTCATCCAATATCAGAAGTGATGGTTCCATCACCATTTCAAGACCCACATTGACTCTTTTCCTTTGACCTCCAGAGATTCCTCTCTTCTCCACTGTCCCAACAAGAGAGTCTCTAACATGTTGAAGACCGAGTGACTCAATGACTCTTTCCACAACTAAAACCTTTTCCGGCTTTGGTAGATCCGCAGGCAGCCTGTAAAATTTATAGATTTGAATAAGTTTGTAAAAAAACTTGAATATCAAGAAGCAAGAAGTGTGGCTTACCTGCATCTTGCACTGAACCAGAGATTCTCCTCCACAGTCAAGTTTCCATGGACTATGTCATCTTGAGGCACAAAACCAATGATTTTCTTGTATGACTGAATCGATGCAACCTTGCCGTTTATAAGAATCATTCCACTCATGATGCAACCTGGTGCTTTCCCTGTCAAAGCTGTTAAGAAAGTTGTTTTCCCGGCTCCTGAAGGACCCATCACAGCAGAGACACGTCCAGGTGATAGCTTCCCGGTCACGCATCTCAGAAGATGTTTGTTTTTTCCTTTCAAAGTGATGGAAAGATCTTTGAAAGCGACTTCAATTGTAGGTCTTTTTCTTACATCGATGTCATTAGCCATGGAGATGACTCCAGAGAAAGTCAAGTTCTTGTTCTGCTCCTGCATTGCCTTCTCCTTCTCGATCTGGCCATAAGCGTACCTGAACATCTGACTCTGTGTATGCAAGGCTTTACCTTTTGGAGCGTTTTTCTTGATGTTTTTATCACCAATCTCAAGATTGAAACCTTCAGTGTCTTCAGGGTTTTGTTCAATGTCGTGTAACATCTCTGTTAGTTTGTTTTTTTCTTTCTTCTTTCCCTTTTTGGTATCTGCCATTGGTGCTAAAGCAGCGTCTGATCCAGGTTTTGCTTGGCTTAGACCTCTCATCAAATCAGGCTGTTTCATAGATTTCCTCCGTGAAAATGTCCTGGAGAACGATTGCTGCAGATCGGTGGCATGCTTCTTTGCTATATCTTTGGCGGATTTCCATTTCTCTCGTGATTGTGAATCTCTCACGCTCTGTACTGCTTTCTCCCTGGATTTTGCCTGCCTTCTTTCTCTTGTCGCAAGAACTTGATCAGAGCAGTTGTATAAGATTATGAGCAAGAAACCAAGACCAGCCTACACAGAAACAAGCCAATGAAGACTCAAATGATTGTAACTAAACCAAAACAGATACAGGAAGAGATCAAACTATGTATGACTCACGAAAAGCATGATTCCATATGCTGTGATGTTCTGGTTTGTTGATCTTGGATTGCACGTTGCCAGCTTAAAACAATCTGCAAATTCATCAGACATAAAAGAGACGTTAAGTTCTCTGTTCTTTACCTTCTTGATAGTAAGAGTAAAAGTTGTGTGAACAAAAGAGGATCACTCACTTAGCTCAGCAGTAGAACCTGTCCTGCAGTAATGTCTGAAGCAAACAAAAGATTAGTTCAGCTGATTAAAGAAAGTTAATTAAAATCATTCTTTAAGTTAGTTACTTACCCTTTGGTACAAGGAAGCTTGTCGATAGTGGAAGGACAAAAAGATCCAGCAGAACAGAAAACTTCACTGCTACTACCAATGTCAGCCCAAATATCAGCTCCACCACAAGTGTGATTTGGCTGTCCAGAAGGAAGCGTGTAATGATATCTGCGATAACAATATAAATCCTGCTGCTAATCTTACACAAATGTTCAAAAACAAAATTTAGAAAAATGAAGCAAGAAAAACAAGACTTACGGGTCGCATAACCCTGTTGTTCTGTTAAGCTTTGCTTCTGGACAAAAAGCTCCCAAAGGACAAGCTTCACATATCATTGTGAGAGGAAACAAGATTAGAGAAAAAAGTGATGACTACAAAGTGTTATAAAGATATAGATGGTTAATTAACTTACGTATCATGCAAGTAATGCCACGAGGGCAGAAGAAACCTGCGCAGCAAGGAGCGCATTGCTGAACTCGTTCGGGAACGTTTTTGTCGTCTTTAAGGTCAACTTTAACGTCTTTAGCAGTGTGACAAGCCCATCCAGGTTCACATCCAGACATCCATGAAGACAGATTGCAGTTCCTGTTCGGTTTCAAGTAATTCGTAGCTCTCTTTGCACCTCCCATTAATCCATTGAAGTATATCCTTATTTCCGCAGCCGTACATACCCTCTGCATCATGTCACCTATTCTCATGCATACCAAAAACGTACGTCAATAATATTTTCTATTTTTTATCAATCCTTATATAAAATTTCTTCTGACTTGTATCAATGATTACCTTTTGTGGTTTTACCACAGGCGTTTAAGAAGGCTGGCTTTGAAGAGAAATTAAACGCTTCATTATAATCTTCTTTTCTGCAACACAAAAAAAAAAAGACATTTCTTTATTTCACTGATTGGTTTGACAAGTAAAAATATATATAAGAAGAAGATTTTTTTTTTTTTGTAACTAACACATTGGTAATGCAGAAACCGAGCTCTCGTTTAATGTCATCCTCAAAAACTTCTGTGAGGTTCGCTATTTTGTCAAAGACGAATTGGTTATAGAGGCGATTCGCAGCGGGATTATCCAAGCTTTCTTGAGAGATTACTCCTTGATGGAAAATAAAGGCAAGAGAAACGAAGAACGAAACAAATGTTTCTTGAAAGCGTAATGGTTTTCTCCTTCCCATCCCTGAAAATTTTCCAAGAAAAGGGAGACAAGATACAATGTTGCAGTGAATTGTTCTGGTGATCGCGATGGATCAATGAGACATTAGATTATTGATTTGTTCTTGAGATGAGAGAGAGAGAGAGAATTAGGGTTTGTGTTACAATTTTATTATTATTTTTCTTTTGGGGGAGAGATGATGGTGTTTCTTGAGAGTCAAGAAATATGGAGGAGAGGAAGACATGGCGATAAACAAGGAGGAGGAGAGAAAGAGATTTTGATTTGACCGTTTGACTTTCGCTAACTCGTGTCGTGGTAATAGATTTTTTACCAAGCAATCATATAAATTAGACCATTAATTTACGGCTATGGCTCTGTATTTTGAGTCAATAACGAAACTTTCATCACACTCCAAAAATCAGTCGACATATATTGAAATGAGGAAGAAGGCACTTTGTTTTATTTTTTAACATTGATTTAAGACTGTCTATAATTTTTCCTTTTTTAGTCAAAACCATATTTGAATTGGAATTTGGAACCAAAATCCATACATGTAATGTACCGCCAGGACTCAACTTTAATATATATATTAAAATAAAAGAGGGTAATGGACAAAAAGAGATAAAGATAAAAAAAGAGGGTAATGGACAAAAAGAGATAAAGATGATGAATAAAGAAGTTCCATAAATCAAGGGAATTATATATTGCACAAACATAAATCAAGTAGGATTTGGAACCCAATACTCTATATATATAATACAAAGATTGACTAACAAATTGTCTGATAACAGAGGGTCTACAACATTCATCATCAAGGGGAAGAGCATAACGATGGATAATCGTAAGCCGGTGTGTAAGTGTTGTGAATGGTGAGTAAATCGGTTATATTCGTTTTTCTTTTGTGTGTGTGTGTGTGTTGTTTGATTCTTAATTAATGGCTCGATTGCAATTTGCACCTGATTTTTTTGGCATGGCAGGTCATGGGAGCAAAAAGTTTACGTCATCTTCATGCACATACTCATCGTGTCGTGCAGTCTTGCAGCATGCTTGTTCATAACACACAACGATATCCCCATGCGTCCAGCCCAAAAGTTTGAGGGATTTGTTATTTTGTCTTTCTACATCAATTTCGCTCTTCTAGGACTCGGAGGACCTGATTCGTCGTCGGAATATGATAACCCGGCTTCAGATTATTTTCTTATGGAATGCTTCAGTCATGTCTTAGGACTCGGTCTTGTCCTGTTTCTCCTCTATATGATTTCTCCCAGTGTCTCTCTAGGTGTCGGAGTACCCTCTTTCGTGTGCTTGATTGCCTTCTCCTACGTCTGTCACAGTGCCGCAAAGGAGGATTTGCAAGCGCAGCCAAATCGTCGACGAGTGTAGCCCTTCTTTTACGGCTCTCCTTTTTTTGTTTTTCTTCTTTTATTTCTTTGTAACCGCATCTGAATAAAGTTATTTTTTTTTTGGGGGGTTTCAAAAACTTTTACTGACTACAACAATGCCGGATAGGGTTGAAAACCAGGTCAACCCTAATTAACCCTAGCTAATATAGAGAAAATAATTTAATAATGGAACCATCATAATCACAACTCAAAGTTTCCCTATGTTTTTCTTACTTAGTATATTTATTTAGTCATTAATAATAAAACCTCTTTATCAAAAAAAAAATTAATAATAAAACCTCTGATATTAAAGGTCGTGACATGTTATATCACGGGTATATGAATGGGCACCAAAGGAACGGAAGATGAATAATGAATTCTTATCATTCTTTATAAAACAAAATTACCATTTGCTAGAAAAAGTTTTCCCATGTCATTCCTTCTCATTCCTAAATCCTAATTCTAAAAGGAATTTTAGAACAAAAATACTTTTTTTTTTTTTTTTTTTTTGCTTATCAAATTGGGAGAGGAACAACAGTTTTCATTAATTTATTCCCATTCATTTTTTTCCTACTCTTTTCTATGATGACTGCAACATGTTCGAGACTCTCTCTCTTGTTGGGACAATGGAAAAAGGAGGAATCTGATGTAGCATCTTAATGTCTTTCTTCACAAGCAACCGGTTATTATTGGTTTTGGTCTTGAGTCTAGTCGCTTCTTTTCCTTTGCTCTGTTTTAGCATATTTCTTTTTAACAATCGTGTTTCTTATTCTTTAGAAAGGAAAGTCGTTTGTGACCGACCTTGATGCTTTCTTATTTAAGTCGATGTAATTCCTCTTCTCACATTCAGTTTTGAAGTTTATTAATAAAAGAGTTATTGCTCTGATCCTTGTCTTGATTTGATTCAATTCATCAATACAGGAAGCTTGGTCTCAAGAGAGTTCTTTGAATTCACTTGATTGAGCAAGAGTAGGTCTCAAGAATTTGAAAGAATCCTTGATCGAGCTACAAATCCGTTTCTTACGCTGCGCCAGGTTGGTATCAGAGCTTTGCTACGCTCTTTTTGTGCCAAAATTTTTCTCGATGCCTCGCCTCAAGAAAACCGCTGCTCCGACGTCGGAAGAGCTCACTCGCCAAGCCATCACAGACCTTCAAGAACAGATGCGTATGATACGGCAGCATTCCAAAACCTCGCCGCACAGCGACCTCTTGTGAACGATCATGCCGAGTTTGATGAAGAATCTATCGCATCTGACGGTGACGACAATCCTTTTGCTCCTCTACAAAATCAACGTACTCAAGCGCAAACAGAAAACGATGATTTCAGATGGGAAAGTGGATTTAAATTCGAAATTCCAGAGTTTCATGGCGGACAATCACCTGTAGAGCTACTTGATTGGATTGTCACGGTGGAAGAAGTCCTAGAGTTTAAACGTGTTCCGCTTGATCGTTGCGTCCCGGTTCTTACTATGCGATTTCGAAACAGAGCTTCGGCTTGGTGGAACCAACTCAAAGCTTCACGTGCTCGAGAAGGAAAACAGAAAATCGTTTCATGGGAGAAACTCAAATCCAAGATGCAGAAAACATTCTTACCGTATAATTATGAGCATCTCATGTTCCAGAAATTGCAAAATCTGAAACAAGGCTCTCGCTCTGTTGAAGAATACGCCACTGAATTTTTTCTGCTTATTACTCGCATAGATTTACAAGATTCCGAACAACAGTTGGTTGCTCGCTTTGTCGGTGGTTTACGACAGAACATTCAGCATACATTGAATTTGTTCAACCCTCTGTCTGTTGCTGAAGCTCATCAACAAGCCCTCACTGTCGAGACTCAAACCAGAGTAAACTACTCTCCTTGGAGCTCTGCGCGTACGCCGCGCACTGTCACAGGCTCTCTTCTGCCTTCACCAGCTCCAATACCAGAAACTCCGGCTCTAAAACCCGAAACAGCTCTTGTCCCTGCCGACTTTCCGCGACGTCCAGGCACCTTACGATGCTTCAGTTGTGGTGAAATAGGACATCGACAATCTGTTTGTCCTTCCCGCAACAAACGTGGTCTCTTGCTTGATACCTCTGGACGTGATGTGGAGATTATCGTTGAGGCGGATGAAGAAAACCCAGAGGAACCGTGTGAACTAGAAGGAGATACGGGCCACCTCTTGATGTTACGACGAACTTTTTGGCCCCTCGTCAACAACTTGATCTTTCACAGCGAAACAACCTCTTTCAATCTCGTTGCACAATAAATGGCAAGGTCTGTAAGTTCATCATTGATTCAGGCAGTTGTGCAAATGTTATTGCAGAAGAAGCAGTTAAAAAGCTAGAGCTGAAAGATGAAGTACACCCATATCCTTACCAATTGGCAGGATTGCAACAAGGGAGTGAACTCCGTGTTACTCGTCGAGCTCTGGTCAATTTTTCTATCGGTGATGCTTACAAAGATCAGCTTTACTGTGATGTGGCTCCAACCGATGCTTGTCATCTTCTTCTTGGACGCCCTTGGGAGTTCGATCGCAAGGTCCAACATGATGGTTTTTTAAACACATACACCTTCTCCTTTAATAACCGTAGCTTCACACTCAAGCCTTCTCCTCCAATATCCTCGTCTCTTGCACCGTCTCCTATTTTATTGTTACAACGAGCACCCTTTGAAGAAGAAATGCGTGAAGCAGGACTAGTGCTTGTTCTCTTGTCAACAACGCCTTCTCCTCCGTCGCCTATTCAGATTGCACCAGCCTTTGCTGGAATAGTTCAAGAATTCTCTGATGTCTTTCCGGAGGATCTTCCGAGCGGTTTGCCTCCATTACGCGATATTCAACATCGCATCGATTTGGTGCCTGATGCTTTACTTCCTCATCGTCCACATTATCGCATGAGCCCTAGTGAGCATGAAGAGTTAAGGCGTCAAGTCGAAGAATTAGTTGCAAAAGGTTTTCTCAGGGAAAGTTTGAGTCCTTGTGCTGTACCAGCCTTACTTATTCCAAAGAAAGATGGGATGTGGCGCATGTGTGTTGATAGTCGTGCTATAAATAAAATCACGGTACGTTATCGATTTCCCATTCCTCGGTTAGATGATCTCTTAGACCAGATTGGTACAGCTACTGTCTTCTCTAAACATGATTTAAAGAGTGGCTACCATCAAATACGGATTCGTCCAGGAGATGAGTGGAAGACGGCCTTTAAAACTCGTGAAGGACTTTTTGAGTGGTTGGTCATGCCGTTTGGATTATCCAATGCACCTAGTACGTTTATGCGTGTCATGAATCAAGCTTTGCGCCCCTTCATTGGTAAATCTGTGGTTGTCTACTTTGATGATATCTTGATCTTCAGCCTAACCATTGAAGCACATTTGATTCACTTACGGGAGGTTCTTGAAGTATTAAGACGTGACCAGCTTTTTGCAACCTTGAAGAAATGCGAGTTTGGTTCTCCTGCAGTACAGTTTTTGGGTTATATTGTCTCTTCCCAAGGTTTATCTGTTGATCCCAGCAAAGTTGAGGCTATTCGCTCTTGGCCCGTTCCTAAAACACTTACAGAGACTCGCAGTTTCCATGGTCTAGCATCTTTTTACCGGCGTTTTGTGCCACAATTTAGTAGCCTTATGGCTCCAATTACGGATTGCATTCGCGATGGCTCATTTGTTTGGACACCAGCAGCTTCTACAGCGTTTGATTTAGTCAAGGACAAGCTAAGTTCTGCACCGATCCTAGCTCTTCCCGACTTCACCTTGGTATTTGAATTACATTGTGATGCATCAAAGCTAGGTGTTGGCGCCGTCCTTAGTCAACGTGGTCGCCCTATCGCTTTCTACAGTGAGAAACTTGCTGGTGCGCGTCTTCGCTATAGCACCTATGATCTGGAATTTTATGCGATCATTCAAGCCGTTAAACATTGGCGTCACTATTTGTTTCATAAAGAGTTTGTCCTATACACTGATCACGATGCGCTCAAACACATTGGCAATCAAGATAAGGTTTCAGCACGGCATGCTTCTTGGATAGCTTATCTTCAACAGTTCACTTTTGTGATTAAACACACGTCGGGAGTTAGTAATCGTGTTGCAGACGCTCTGAGCAGACGTCACTCTTTATTGGCAGTGTTACATGTTTCGGTTCCTGGATTTAGTTCTTTTGCTGACCTATATGCTTCAGATTCTTTTTTTGGTCCGATTTGGTCAGATACAGACTCAGCCTCGTCACGGCTTTATACTCGTCATGATGGTTTTTTATTTCGGGAATCACGGCTCTGCATTCCAGATTGCAGCCTTCGTTTGAAACTAATCTCTGAGCTTCACAATGAGGGACACGTTGGACGCGATAGAACGTTACTTTTGGTCTCTTCATCTTATTTCTGGCCTTCTTTGCGACGTGACGTAGAGAGATTCGTTGAACGATGTGTCATTTGTCAAACATCCAAAGGACAAGCATCAAACGCAGGATTGTATCTTCCTCTACCTATTCCGACTCAGCCTTGGACGGATATCAGCATGGACTTTGTGATGGGTCTTCCGCGTACTCAAAAAGGCTTTGACTCCATCTTTGTCGTGGTTGATAGGTTCTCTAAAATGGTACACTTTATTCCCTGCAAACGGACCACTGATGCGGTTCAAGTGGCGACTCTGTTTTTTCGTGAAATTTATCGCTTACATGGACTGCCTGCTTCAATAGTCTCCGACCGTGATTCACGTTTCTTGGGCCACTTTTGGCGTTCGTTATGGAAGCTTCTTGACACTAGCCTCGACATGAGTTCTGCCTACCATCCTCAAACCGACGGCCAAACCGAGGTTACTAATCGATCTTTAGGTAACCTTTTGCGCTGTTTAGTTGGTGATTCCATCAAGAGTTGGGATTCTAAGCTTCCACAAGCAGAGTTTGCACATAATCATGCCGTCAATCGCAGTTCAGGCTACAGTCCTTTCCAAGTTATCTACGGCTTTTCTCCTCGTGGTCCAGTCGATTTATCTACTCTACCTGATCGCACTAGACTTCATGGCGACGCTGAAACTTTCATGGAAAATGTCCTTGAGACTCATGAAAAAGTCAAAGAGAATCTTGCCATTTCCACCGCTAAGTATAAATCTGCCGCTGATACTCATCGTAGACGTTTGGTGTTTGAAGTGGGAGACTTCGTTTGGGCTGTCTTAACCCGAGATCGTATGCCTGCTCATGCATATAACAAACTGAAAGCAAAAAAAATTGGTCCTCTTGAAGTTTTGGAGCGTATCAACGATAATGCTTATCGTCTTCGCCTTCCCTCTGATGTTCGCACTTCTGATGTCTTCAATGTCAAGTACTTCTCTCGTTACCATTCACCAATCACTACTCCAGATTCAGGGACGAATCTTTCTAACCCCGGGAGTCCTGATGTAGCATCTTAATGTCTTTCTTCACAAGCAACCGGTTATTATTGGTTTTGGTCTTGAGTCTAGTCGCTTCTTTTCCTTTGCTCTGTTTTAGCATATTTCTTTTTAACAATCGTGTTTCTTATTCTTTAGAAAGGAAAGTCGTTTGTGACCGACCTTGATGCTTTCTTATTTAAGTCGATGTAATTCCTCTTCTCACATTCAGTTTTGAAGTTTATTAATAAAAGAGTTATTGCTCTGATCCTTGTCTTGATTTGATTCAATTCATCAATACAGGAAGCTTGGTCTCAAGAGAGTTCTTTGAATTCACTTGATTGAGCAAGAGTAGGTCTCAAGAATTTGAAAGAATCCTTGATCGAGCTACAAATCCGTTTCTTACGCTGCGCCAGAATCTCTGGAGGTCAGAGGAAGAGAGTCAATGTGGGTCTTGAAATGGTGATGCAACCAATGTGGGTCAGGGCTTGACAGCTCGTCTTCCCAGTTACTTCTCAGAGCTTTACGTCGTGAAGCTCTTGAAGGAGTAGACTGTAGACATCTGTATGGTTGTCCATCAACATGTTTATATACTCTCACATTTTGGCTTAATACTAAAAACAGGAGGACTACATCTTGTTTCTCATTTTTGTCCTTTGTCTCTCTCTCTCTCTCTCTCTCTCTCTCTCTCTGTGCAGCTACAGTCTGTTTCGGATGTTTAATGATAAGAGTTAGAGGCTTTGTATGATGATTTCGGGTGGATGAGACGGCTGTGTTGGAGATCCCTCGATGGGAAACTGGTGGATGATGGGCGCAGCCAGACCATCTTGATTGGGACAACAACAGGTGATTCGTTTGAGGTTTGGTGGAGAAGAGGTTTCAGAAGACGGGTCTTGGCAGCGCCGGATGCGTATGACTAACTCAAAGATGGAATAAGATTGCGACTCTTCCTTATTTTTATGTAAACCGTTTTACTATTTGTGACTCGCTCAATGAGACGGAAAGATTGAAAAGAAAGGATGTTTTATTGACGACTAAAACAATGATCAGAACAGAAAGAAAAGAAATTCAATCCGAGTTTTGAGTCTAAATCATGCTGCAGAATTCTTCTACATGGGATTGGGGGCTATTGAAAACTGGCTGAGTATATCACCCGGACTTTGCTTTGAATTGGGTGATCGAATTTGAAGCTGAGAATTGGTTTCTTGCATGCTTGTCATCAATATCTTCTGTAGCGTGACCTGCTATGAGACTCTGTTTCCAGTCTTTTCAAGAGATGATTGGATCCCCACCATATTTCAGCTTCGGTAGACCATCGGTCCTGTTGATCAAATATTTACAGCAGAGTAAGTTTAACATATTTAAAAAGGGCTCATGACACAAGATGGGATGTCACAGAAGTTCCAACATGAGCAACAGTCACAACCCAAAACCAAGAAAAAACACAGAGGGGATTAATGAAAATCTGACCTTTGGAGGATTTTGAGTATTCCGGTTCCAAGCTTCATTGGTATCTACGCCCATCATCACACATTCTCTCACTCCCTCAATGCTATCAACCTTCCCACTAACAATTCACTAAGCAAATTATCTTCCCCCTGATCAAGAAGTTGAAGTGACATTTAATCGTTAACATGACTGCACAAGTTATTGATACGAAAGATCATAACAACAGATTCAAAGCACTGACCCGGTTAGTCATGACATCAGCCAAAAGCATCATGTGACGAGTGTCTATACTCATGCCGTGGTTCCCTTATTTCATCAATACTTGTCGTCCTTGCAGCCTCAGTTCCCAGTGTTTTGCTCACTTCGACAACATTGTTACTTGTCGTAGTTCTCCCACTGATTCCTGAAAAGAGAGAACCAAAGACTGCTTAAAGTCAACAGTTCAACAAACAACCCGAGAAGGAAAAAATAACATACACACAGAGGAGAATCTAATCTCTTGAAATTCGAGAAAACTTACATACAACACATGTAACCATCTGACTGATGTTGATAGGAGATCCATGAACCGCATTGTGACATGATCAAGGGACTATCTCTCCAATGTAATGCACTCATACAGAGCTGTATATCACAAATATGATGAAGCATTAGTACACGTGTATCTTAGCAAATAGTATATCACATATGTTCATGCCTAATTGGAAACAGAAGCTAGGATTTTACCTTCCCAGTCGCAGTTATTTTGTCCTCACTGATTGTTTCTTTTCTTCTCCTTCTCAACGCTTCTCCAGGTTGAACGTCATCAATTCCGATGGAGAAGCCATGGATTCCAATCCACCGAGCACTGCACAAAACAAGATTAAAGCTACCAGTTAGACAAGAAAATTATTTACTTACACGATTCAGCAAAAGGCAGACCGCATAGAAAGAAGAAAGGCCACAGAAAACACAGCACACACAAAGCAAGGATGGACAACTGCTGAAATTATTATAGAGACGCAGAAACGAATGAGCAAGACAGGGATGGATGATAAAGATTGAAGTGTTCAAGGAGCAATCAATCAGAAGCGATAAGACGGACTCACCTCAATTTTGCTAGGCGGTTCATGCAGACTGCTGCAGCATGGGAGCTGTAATCTCTTGGAAGAATAGAATACAATCCATCCTTGTTTCCATCTCCTAGAGTAAAATATTACGTTCTCAGAATACTGAAAAAAAAAACATTATTGCATTCCCCAGTTATCCTGACATTAGCCTCAGAATATAGAGAACAAATCCAGAAAGAACCGCTATCTGATGCATTTGCAACATATTGCATTCCATCTTGAACTTACCTAGCATAGCCTTCCCCAGTTGTCCTGATATTTCGAGAATAAACCCATCCATCATTTACGCACATTGTCTCATCATACACCACTTCCTTCTTCGGGTCTCTCTTCTTGAAGGTCGACTCTTAAACTGGCATTTGGACGCTGCAAAACACTAAAAACCTGTTTACCATTCCAAAGCGCTATTGGCTACATGAAAAAATAGCATCTTGATTAGAAAGCAAATACAAGGAAAGACAATGCTCCAAATAGCAGAAGAATTCCCAGTGTCCACAACTTATATGACCAGACCGATTCAACTATCAATTACTAACAGAGTCTGGACTCGTTGGTGAAACTATAGATAATGATGTAGACCCTCAAACAAAATACAGACTGATACAGTTATTGCAACAGGACAAAGGCGTTTAACATTATGGGAAAGCAGAAATATCCGTCCCTTGGACTGACATGGATAGCCACAAAAGAAAACTAATCTGAGATGAGAAACATCTAAGGCTTGCAAAGCTAACAACTATGATCCCTCAGTTGGCGGACTGGTATTACAGTAAAAAGCTGTTGGACATTAACACACGCGCACACATATTTCAAAAAGTTAGATAGTTGATACCAACATAATAAGCTCTAGCTATCTAATACTCTCAAGCCAGCTGTGTGTGATGTACTACATAGGTGAAAAACGTGCACTAGCCTCATACCTTAAGGATTGTGGGGCTATGCAATCCCCATGTACGAACATATAAGTGAAAAGGCTGCACAGTCATAAAATGTATCTATCAAAAAGGCAGATGTAAAAAAATCCTGCGTTGATGCTGCTAGCATTTCTCCATTTTTGGGGGTGCATAAATTGTTTTGTACCTGAGATACAGACCAAGGGAGAAGCAAGTTATCACCAGAAGAGAAACAATAAAATTTTCTGTCAGGCGTTATACAGACTAGAAACCAACAGCTCGTGTAAGAAACACAACATATATACATTTCCTCACTCTACTCTATCATCCCTTCTGTCCATCGAGATCTTCCATATAACCTTTACATACAAGGGAAGATTTTTCTAGACATCTAAACCCATCATACCCTCAACTCCAGAATCTAGATCAGCCTAAAGGTTCAGTAGAATATTGGTTTTGAATTACAGGCCTTTTTTGGTGAAAGACTGACAATTCGTATCAATGGCTAACCAAAAACAGAACCAAAGACTGCTTCAAATCAACAGTTCACCAAAACAAACCGTTCCCAATGTAAGGCATGGGTTATATCCTAGGGTGGAACTTAGGATGGGAAAAAGAACATACACACAGAGGAGCATCTAATCTCTTGAAATTCGAGAAAACTTACCCCTCCACAAACAGTTTATAGCTGTTCTTTCCATCTGGCCTTTTCTTTTTTCTAGCTGCATCCTCTGCGATGACCACTCGCTCAACTGGACCAACAACCCAATTATTGTTATTCATATACTGGCATCAGTTCGCAATATGGACTCTAAACAAGCAGCAGTGACTACCAAAGAATTCACTGGTACGTATAATAACAATTCAGATAAAAATGAAGAAGAAAGAGTGCAGCAGAGATGACGTTTGTGCTTATATTTTTTGGGAGCATGTATGATGTCATTGATTCGAGGGGCTGCTTCTGAACCAAAATCAAGCAATCAAAACAGCTAAAGTTTCAAAGTAAAACATTCTGATGAAAATAAGCATGTCCAAAAGGATACTCATAGACGCAACTCCAGCAAAGTCAAAAGTTTCACGGGTTCTCCAATACTCACTCTCTGAGCTCCTAACTGTCCAACTGCGATGAAAGAGACATGATCAAGGGACTGTTTTCTTAAATCTCACAAATATAAGACTTTTGATAGGTAGTCAGGGTCAGTTGAATAAAGTGTAGACAAATCCTTAAAGCAACAGCTCGTATAACAAACACAGCATAGATTCATTTCCTCATTTTTCTAACTCTATCATCCCTGCTGTCCAAGAAACTTAATATGATGCTAAGTACTAGAGAAAGTACCTCCACTGTTTGTGGTACTGCACGTTCATCATTCTTCTTGCCTGCAGGACAACAAATGTAAAATTAGGAGTACTCTGAGGGCAAGAAAAAGCTATGACTAAGCAGACTAAGGCAGTACTGACCTGTGACACATGATAGGCATCCAAATGCAGACTCGCTTGTCTGTTCAAAAGCACATAAGTCTCCTTCTTCTCAAAATGACGGATACCATTATATACTAACAAAAGAGTATGAAGAACAGCAGCAACGTAGGCTAAAAATTCCTTTTTTCTATTTAACAAATCCAAATCCAATTACATTGTGTGTGTTCAGATCATAAAGGCCTACAATTGGTGCCTCCTGAACAAAATGAGGAACATAAACTTCAAAAACCTTATAACTATAATAACACCAAAGACTATTGCCACACCCACTGAAAAATCAACCGAGAGTATGCGGTTCATAGCCCACAGAGCATAGAAACCACAGGGTATCGAGATAAATTCGTCTGCGGCCATTGGACAAAACGCCACCTCCTGCCTCGTGGTAGCATGGTAACACCAATTCTCGCATACAGATACAAGTAGCCCAGGAATCCATAAAGCCACACCGAGTCAGAGTAGATGTCACCGAGACGGTCAAGGTCCTTTCTGGCTGCAGCTGACGTGGCCGCGTCCCCTGCTTTGAGGCTAAGGATTAACAACCTGAGAGCTTGGCCAATCTGTGCAAAAATGCCCATGATTGCAGCTGCGGGCATTAGAAGGTCATGAACCTCGGAGGAGTATGAGCCCCTAGCAGAAAAAAGCACATACGAGTTAAAAAAGCTTGTTGCATTAAAAGAGCTAAACCATGGAATGCCTCACGAAACCTCTGCTTGTACCTTATGTATACTTCTTGGGGAGCAGCTGGCGCGACCTCGTCCCCTGCTCTGAGGCCAAGGATCCACAACCTGAGAGCGTGGTAAAGCTCTGCAAAAAGAGCAGCAATTCTGGCTGCGGGCATTCGAACCAACCTAGCAGAGAAAGCATAAACAGTTAAAAAGCTTGTTGAAGAGCTAAACCACGGAATGCCTCACGAAACCTCGTTTGTACCTTGTGTATGTATTTTGTACTCCTTCCGGATCGGTAGCAAGCTCCGGACTTGAGCCATAACCCATCTCCAGATCATGATCATCTGGTGGTGCCCTCAAATCGTGACGTGACCACTTTAAGCCGCCTTTGACCTTGTTGCCTTGACCCTTGGGGTTGAGTTGGGTTCTTGGAGGAGGTGGACCGTTCTGGCTGGCTGATACATTCGCTGAGTGTGCCTGCGAGCCTTCCCTCGTATTGCCTTGATCCTGATGGCTAGAACCAGTTGTCGCTGACCGCTTTGAGCCGTCTTTCTCGCCTTGACCATTCTCCTGTGTAGAATCTGCAACTTGTGGTGCCTGCGACGCTTTAATCGCTGACCCATTCGCTGAGAGCGGTGGCGTCGACATTTCTTTCCTCTCGCCGGCGTCGGGTCTTGGGGTTCGGGATCTTACAGAATCACGAAAGAGGAGAGCCCGTGCTGTCGAGTCTTTCACACTAGGAACACTCTCGCCGGAAAGCGGTGGAGCGCCGCCGGAAGAAGTCGGCGGTATTCCATTCTCTGAGCCGTGACCCGGTGTCGATCCTTCGTCCTGCCCTGACCCATCCTCCGAAGATTCTTCAATCACATCTTGCGGTGCCGTCCGATCTCCGATCGAATCCTGATGGCCAGAGCCAGTGCTCGCTATACCATTCTCTGTCGCAGATAGCAGCGGTTTGACCGAAGATCCCTTTTCTGTTTCTTTGGAATCTTTCTCCAGATCTTTGGAGGATGCCGATCCTTCATTCACATCTTCGATTGCCTCCGATTGATCGCCGGAATATGTCCTCTGTAGCTGATAGGTTGAGCATTCCTTTGTCATTCATGAGAAAGAAGAAGCGATCACAAGGAAGGAGAGCTCGAAAATGGGGAAAGAACAATTCAAGTGGCTAAGGACGAAGATGGAAGGAAGAAGAGTCTCTTTGTGAGAAGGAGGCTTTCAGAAGACTTATGTTATGTCGTTTTACTTATGCTATGCGTTTAATAAGTAAGCTCGAGTGTGAGCGAATATTTAAGGAGTGTGTATTAGGATTGAGACCTTATCTTATGAACAGTATCACATTAATGAAGCATCTTTCTTAATCCGCCTCCTTCTCTATTTCTTCTATTTCTTATCTATCTCTATCTCCTAATCTTCCTTTCTCTTCTTACGATAAGTCTCGTGCTTATCATTGTTGTCTTTCATTGAGAGTCAAAAAAAAAAAAATGGCATCTTCCTCGCCTAGCCCATCAGAACTCGAGAACGTCGTTCCAGACACACCCGAACAAGCAGTGACGATGAATTAGCGGTTGTCGCAGATGGAGAAGGACATGCGCTGGTTGAAGATCCATTTCGAGAACCTCCTGCGCCCTCAAGGGCAGGCCAGTTCCAGCGAAACCCCAGCACCAGGGCCTGGTACACCCATTTCCGGAGTGCAACAGTCAGTGCTGTCGACCCCTGCGCCGCAGACGGACAAAGCGGGAGGAGAAGGGTTTCTCCCGACCCCAAAGGTGACACCTTTTCCCCAACCCACTTTTTTTCCGCCTAAGGACACGAAGCAGGGCCAAAGGTCGGAACTTTATGGGAACCAGAGCGAGATTCCGAGCAAAAAGGTCGATCTGCCACTATACGAAGGTAACAATCCCGAGGATTGGCTGTTTCGACTAGAGAAATGTTTTGAGATGAATCATGTGTCGGAATGGGACAAACTGGATCAAGCTTTGACCTGTCTCACCGGATCTGCGATTACGTGGTGGCGTTTTTCACAAGAGAGGGAGCAGATTAACACTTGGAAGGATTTTAAAGACAAGGTCAAAGTAAGGTTCAAACCCAGTAGAGGAAGTGCTTCGGTGGACCAGTTGTTGAATATAGTTCAAAAGGGGACCGTTAATGAGTACAGAGATCGTTTCGAAGAGCTTTCCGTGGAACTTCCTCATGTACCTGATGATGTGCTTGAGGCGGCCTTCTTGAAGGGGTTGAAGAAGAGCCTTCGTGACCAAGTAGTGAGGTGCAGACCGGGAAACATGACCGATATCGTTGAAGTAGCGAGGTTGATCGAATCGCAGGAGGGAGAAAACCAGAGCTTTTATGGTCGATCGTTCCAAAAACCAGTAGCTGCTTCGGGGTCGAGTTTCTCCAATCGTAACCAAAGCAGCAACAATTGGAGATCAGGCGACAACCAAACGGCGAAGAGGAATCCGGAGGCCACCAAGGATAACCGAAAACCATTTGTCAAGTCAAATCTTTGCAACTACAACTGTGGAGAAAAGTGGTTTCCGGGGCATAGATGTAGACAGAGACTCAAATGTATGGAAGTAGAGGAAGATGAGAACCAACCCGAGAATGAAGCTATTGAGCAGGAGGAGGGTGAGAACCTTGTCGAGGATGGCGAAGAGCAACAAGAGTTGGTCACCTTATCGCTGCATTCAATGGCAGGCTTGACGACGGAAACTTCCATGAAGATGTGGGGAAGTATTGGTGACAGGAAGGTTGTGGTACTCATTGACTCAGGAGCTACCAGCAACTTCATCACTGAGAAAGTAGCGAAGGAGATGAAGCTACCTCTGGCGCACAACCGAGGCTTTGGAGTATTGGTAGGAGGTGGAAAAGTCATGCATGGCAAGGGTAGATGTTCCGGAGTGTCACTAAACATACAAGGGATCGAATTGGTGGAGGAACTTCTGATATTTGAACTGGGGAATACAGACGTCGTCCTGGGTTATCCTTGGTTGGCATCGCTAGGGGATACAAGAACGAATTGGAAGCTGCAGACTCTAAGTTGGAAGATAGACGACTGTTGGGTAACCATTAAAGGAAATCCAGAGTTGAGCCGTGAACCTGTGTCTCTGCGTTCTATGGAGAAGCTGATTACGAAAGAGAGAGGAGGATACTTGCTGGAACTTACAACTCTGTTTGAAGGAGAAAAGAAGCAAAGTAAAGGCAAATACTCCGCGGAAGTACAACCTATCCTGGATGAGTTCAGACAAGTATTTGAGATGCCACAGGAGTTACCTCCGATCCGCAGTAAAGTTCACGCTATCACACTACAGGATGGGGCCGGACCCGTGAATAGCAGACCTTATCGCTATTCCTTCATACAGAAGAATGAGATTGAGAGACTCATACGAGAGATGTTAGAGGCACACATAATCCGCCCAAGTGTGAGCCCGTACTCAAGTCCGGTCTTATTGGTGAAGAAGAAAGACGGAGGGTGGCGGTTCTGTGTGGATTATCGCGCCCTAAACAAGGTCACCGTTCCTGACCGTTATCCCATTCCTGTCATTCAGGAGTTGCTAGATGAGCTGCATGGAGCAGTAATTTTCTCGAAACTGGACTTAAAGTGAGGGTACCACCAAATAAGAATGAAGAGCAGTGACGTGGAGAAGACGGCTTTCAAGACTCACCAAGGGCACTACGAGTTCTTGGTAATGCCTTTCGGACTCACTAACGCGCCTTCCACCTTTCAAAGCGTTATGAACGACCTCTTTAGACCACATCTGAGGCGGTTTGTATTAGTCTTTTTCGACGACATCCTTGTGTACAGCCTGGATATCGGAACTCACCGGAGGCATCTGAGAACCGTGTTGCAGTTGATGAAACAGCATCACTTTTATGCAAATGCCCAGAAGTGTTCCTTCGGAGAAGATGAGGTAGCTTACTTGGGACACCGTATCTTTGCGGCAGGAGTTGCAGCAGACCCGGAGAAGATTGAGGCCATGATAAAATGGCCGGTGCCACGCTCAGTGACAGAACTCAGAGGGTTTTTGGGACTAACTGGGTATTATCGTAGATTTGTGAAGAATTACGGGTTAATAGCCAGACCATTGACGGAGTTGCTAAGGAACAATGGATTTACTTGGTCGGAGAAGGCGACTGAGGCGTTTCAAGCATTGAAGGCAGCAGTGACTACTCTACCTGTGTTGATTCTACTTGATTTTTCCAAACCTTTCACAATTGAGACTGACGCGTCAGGTGCAGGTATTGGCGCGGTGCTGTCTCAGGAGCGAAGACCCATTGCGTTTCTGAGCCAGGCCTTCTCATCTCAAGGGAGAGTTAAGTCAGTATATGAAAGAGAATTACTGGCAATTGTGAAAGCGACTACAACTTGGAAGCACTATTTGACTGGTAGAGAGTTCATCATCAAGACGGATCAGAGCAGTCTGAAACACTTGTTGGACCAGAAGGCGGTGTCATCGGTACAACAACGTTGGGCTGCAAAGTTGATTGGGTTGAACTATAAGATTGAATACAAACCTGGTGTGGAGAACAGAGTTGCCAACGCGCTGTCAAGAAGAGCACCATCGGAAGAATTTCAGCAGCTCAAGCTTACGGCTCCTTTATCTATCGATATGGAGGAGTTATGAGTCCAGGTGAGAGTTGATCAGGAACTAGGACCGATAATGGTAAGCCTGGAAAAAGGGGAAGTTTCGAAACCAGGTTACAGTTTGGAAAAGGGAGTACTAATGCGTAATGGTTGTATATGCATACCCAGAAACTCTCATTTTGTTCAGAAGATGTTGGAACGGTTTCATGCAGAGGCTATAGGAGGTCATGAAGGAGCCCTAAAGACCTACAAACGTTTGAATCAAGAAGTTTACTGGATTGGCATGCGAAAGGATGTGGTGAAGTTTATAATGCAGTGCAAGGTGTGTCAAGAGAACAAATACTCCACGCTCTCTCCAGCAGGTCTCTTAGCCCCTTTGCCAATTCCGGAACAGATTTGGAGTAATATTAGTATGGATTTTGTGGATGGACTACCTCTATCAAAGGGATTCAGCGTAATCATGGTGGTGGTGGATCGCCTTAGCAAATATGCACATTTTATTGCGCTGAAGCATCCGTACACGGCGAAATCAGTTGCAGAAGCCTTTATTAGAGAAGTAGTGAAGCTACATGGGTTTCCCTCCACAGTGGTTTCAGACAGAGACAGGGTGTTCCTTAGCAACTTATAGTCCGAGTTGTTCCGTCTCCAAGGGGCGGCGTTACACAAGAGTACAGCGTATCATCCTCAAACCGACGGGCAAACGGAAGTTGTCAACAGATGCTTGGAGACATACCTCAGGTGCTTTGCCGGGAGAAAACCGGGATCGTGGTTGCAGTGGTTACCTTGGGCCGAGTATTGGTACAACTCATCGTACCACTCGTCGATCAAAACATCACCATTTTTTGCAGTTTATGGCAGGGAGGCTCCTAAGATCATCAGATATGGGGACACTCCAACACCTAACGCCATGGTGGAAGATCTGTTACGAGACAGAGACAGCCTGCTTACTGAGCTCAGGGAGAATATGGAGTTAGCTCAGAAACAGATGGTGAAAAGCGCCAATAAACACAGAAGAGATGTAGAGTTTGCGGTGGACGATTGGGTTTATCAGAAGTTACGTCCGTACAGGCAGAGTTCAGTGGCTAAGCGGAGGAATGAGAAGCTGGCTCAACGTTACTTTGGACCCTATCAGGTGGTGCAGCGTGTAGGGAAAATGACGTACAAATTGGAGCTTCCGCCGCATAGCTTGATCCACCATGTGTTCCATGTGTCGCAATTGAAGCTAGCGTTACCAACCAACCACACTGCTCAGGAGATCCCACCGATTCTTACAGCAGAGTTGGAATGGGCAACCGAACCGGAGGAGTTACTTGACATAAGGAGAGCGGGACCAAGCCAAGAGACAGAGGTGCGAGTTAAGTGGAAGGGATTGCCGGAGTTTGAAGCGACTTGGGAACCTTTGCAAACGGTGGCAAATCAATTTCCTCATTTCAACCTTGAGGACAAGGTTGGTCATCTGGAGGGGGGTATTGATAGGTTGAGCATTCCTTTGTCATTCATGAGAAAGAAGAAGCGATCACAAGGAAGGAGAGCTCGCAAATGGGGAAAGAACAATTCAAGTGGCTAAGGACGAAGAAGGAAGGAAGAAGAGTCTCTTTGTGAGAAGGAGGCTTTCAGAAGACTTATGTTATGTCGTTTTACTTATGCTATGCGTTTAATAAGTAAGCTCGAGTGTGAGCGAGTATTTAAGGAGTGTGTATTAGGGTTGAGACCTTATCTTATGAACAGTATCACATTAATGAAGCATCTTTCTTAATCCGCCTCCTTCTCTATTTCTTCTATTTTTTCTATTTCTTATCTATCTCTATCTCCTAATCTTCCTTTCTCTTCTTACGATAAGTCTCGTGCTTATCATTGTTGTCTTTCATTGAGAGTCAAAAAAAAAAAAATGGCATCTTCCTCGCCTAGCCCATCAGAACTCGAGAACGTCGTTCCAGACACACCCGAGCAAGCAGTGACGATGAATCAGCCGTTGTCGCAGATGGAGAAGGACATGTGCTGGTTGAAGATCCATTTCGAGAACCTCCTGCGCCCTCAAGGGCAGGCCAGTTCCAGCGAAACCCCAGCACCAGGGCCTGCTACACCCATTTCCGGAGCGCAACAGTCAGTGCCGTCGACCCCTGCGCCGCAGACGGACAAAGCGGGAGGAGAAGGGTTACTCCCGACCCCAAAGGTGACACCTTTCCCCCAACCCACTTTTTTTCCGCCTAAGGACACGAAGCAGGGCCAAAGGTCGGAACTTTATGGGAACCAGAGCGAGATTCCGAGCAAAAAGGTCGATCTGCCACTATACGAAGGTAACAATCCCGAGGATTGGCTGTTTCGACTAGAGAAATGTTTTGAGATGAATCATGTGTCGGAATGGGACAAACTGGATCAAGCTTTGACCTGTCTCACCGGATCTGCGATTACGTGGTGGCGTTTTTCACAAGAGAGGGAGCAGATTAACACTTGGAAGGATTTTAAAGACAATGTCAAAGTAAGGTTCAAACCCAGTAGAGGAAGTGCTTCGGTGGACCATTTGTTGAATATAGTTCAAAAGGGGACCGTTAATGAGTACAGAGATCGTTTCGAAGAGCTTTCCGTGGAACTTCCTCATGTACCTGATGATGTGCTTGAGGCGGCCTTCTTGAAGGGGTTGAAGAAGAGCCTTCGTGACCAAGTAGTGAGGTGCAGACCGGGAAACATGACCGATATCGTTGAAGTAGCGAGGTTGATCGAATCGCAGGAGGGAGAAAACCAGAGCTTTTATGGTCGATCGTTCCGAAAACCAGTAGCTGCTTCGGGGTCGAGTTTCTCCAATCGTAACCAAAGCAGCAACAATTGGAGATCAGGCGACAACCAAACGGCGAAGAGGAATCCGGAGGCCACCAAGGATAACCGAAAACCATTTGTCAAGTCAAATCTTTGCAACTACAACTGTGGAGAAAAGTGGTTTCCGGGGCATAGATGTAGACAGAGACTCAAATGTATGGAAGTAGAGGAAGATGAGAACCAACCCAAGAATGAAGCTATTGAGCAGGAGGAGGGTGAGAACCTTGTCGAGGATGGCGAAGAGCAACAAGAGTTGGTCACCTTATCGCTGCATTCAATGGCAGGCTTGACGACGGAAACTTCCATGAAGATGTGGGGAAGTATTGGTGACAGGAAGGTTGTGGTACTCATTGACTCAGGAGCTACCAGCAACTTCATCACTGAGAAAGTAGCGAAGGAGATGAAGCTACCTCTGGCGCACAACCGAGGCTTTGGAGTATTGGTAGGAGGTGGAAAAGTCATGCGTGGCAAGGGTAGATGTTTAGTTCGATTTGAGGCATTAGTTTAGTCAGATATTTTTTGCTAAGATTATATAAAAGTAAGAAGCTTTGGAGTGTTTGTCTTGATGTTAAATAATTGAGAGTCCATGTATTTTACAGAGGGGGAAAGGATTTTTTTCATTTTTGTGAACTTGTTAAATATTCAAAAATCTTTACCATCACGTAAGAATATTTTTAGTAAATGAAATAGGTTTGTTTAATTTATTAATCAAATATTGAATGATTAACAGTTAAGCCGTAATTATATATTTTCTAAAAAAAAAAATTAATACACACAATTTGGAATTTACTTACTACAATCCCTCTAACTTGCCTCCTTTTATTGATGCATATTATAGATTTTAAAAACCGAGTATTTTAAATTTTAAATTTGACATTTAGATTTGACTGAATCCATCTTCGGATAAAGAATATTGCAAGACAACTTCAAAAGGTTGTATATCCATTGTTATTGTACAAGTCTTTTTTCCTCTATGCCAAACCAATTTTGATATTAGGGTCTAGACTGCAGCAGAATCTCATCTTTGGCAGTGAATTGTAATGTTTATATCTGTATCGTCCACTGTTCTTTTTTTTTTACTCATGTTTCGCTTTAAAACGACTGTAGCCTTCTTTTGATCTGGAAAGTGATAGAGTTTTCATGGGAACTGAGGCAAAGTGTGTGTATTTTGTGTTCAAAGTATATTAAAACATGCACTTTGTTTTCATTGGGTTTCAGGCTGCAGAAGCACTGTTGAAAGCCATTGGAACTCGTTGGAAGCTACCATGGACTGCAGAGACCATTGTGAAGGTATCTTGTTCTTACTCAGATTTTTTAAACAAGAACATTGATGAAACCTATCTAGACTCTGTGTACTGGATCATTTGTTAATGGTGGTGTATGATAAGTTACTGTGGGTAGCTGATAGCTTAAGATGTGGTTTTTGAAAGTAGAGACATATATCCCTGACTAAGAACCATGTACTACTTCTTGCCTTTTGCGGTATGTATTAATTAGATTTTGGTTGTGGAAAGGGCATAGCTTTGAATTAGTAGTACTATAGATGTATTGTGTAGATGCAAAAACAAACGGTGTGCAGAGGATGTTGCCGTTGGTGTTCCTGGGAGTGGTTTTGGGTCTGATATTCGCAAGGTCAAGGAACTTGTTACCTTCGATGCTGTTGCATAGCTTGTGGAATGGCTTTGTGCTCATGGGGTTGATGCGATGATGATGATGATGATGATGATGATGATGATGATGATGATGATGACTTGTCTTTTGTAGGTGTCTATTTTTTTCTTTTTCTTGTTGTAATTGATTCAAGTTACGATTTTTAGATCTTTCAGTTAAATGGACTTTTCACTTGTAAAAAGGAAACAAAATTTGTCAAAAAGCCAAATGAAACGAGCATGTTACCACTTTTCACTTGTAAAAAGGAAACAAAATTTGTCAAAAAGCCAAATGAAACGAGCATGTTACCAAAAACATAGAAACGGGTAGAAATAATTACCACCGAATAATACGAATATTTTTGTGAAATGATTTTTCTATCTTTAATAATAATACATTTTTTGCATATAACTTAAACAAATTCGAGTTCTTTATTGGCCTTAAAATGCATCAAACCTGTGATGTATGCTTATGAACAAATCAGTATTCAAGTGTTGTAATCTACTTATGAACAAATGTTTCTTGAAAGCGTAATGGTTTTCTCCTACACATCCCTGAAAATTTTCCAAGAAAAGGGAGACAAGATACAATGTTGCAGTGAATTGTTCTGGTGATCGGGATGGATCAATGATACATTAGATCATTGATTTGTTCTTGAGACTAGAGAGAGAGAGAATTAGGGTTTGTGTTACTATTATTATTGTTTTTCTTTTTGGGGAGAGATGGTGGTGTTTCTTGAGAGTCAAGAAATATGGAGGAGAGGAAGAAGACATGGCGATAAACGAGGAAGAGAGAAAGAGATTTTGATTTGACCGTTTGACTTTCGCTAACTCGTGTCGTGGTAATAAATTTTTCACCAGGCAAGCAATCATATAAATTAGCCAATTAATTTACGGCTATGGCTCTGTATTTTGAGTCAATAACATACAGTATATTGAAATGAGGAAGAAGGGACTTTTTGTATTTAGTTTATTTTTTAACATTGATTTAAGACAGTCTATAATTTTTCGTTTTTTTTTAGTCAAAACCATATATGAATTTGGAATTCGGAACCAAAATCCACAAAGAGATAAAGATTAAAAAAAAATTGAAAAAGGAAAGAAGTTCCATAAATCAAGGGAATTATATATTGCACAAACATAAATCAAGTAGGATTTGGAACCCAATACTCTATATATATAATACCAAGATTGACTAACAAATTGTGTGATAACAGAGGGTCTACAACATTCATCATCAAGGGGAAGAACATAACGATGGATAATCGTAAGCCGCTGTCTAAGTGTTGTGAATGGTGAGTTAATCGGTTATATTCGTTTTTCTTTGTGTGTGTGTGTGTGTTGTTTGATTCTTAATTAATGGCTCGATTGCAATTTGCACATGATTTATTTGGCATGGCAGGTCATGGGAGCAAAAAGTTTACGTCATCTTCATGCACATACTCATCGTGTCGTGCAGTCTTGCAGCATGCTTGTTCATAACACACAACGATATCCCCATGCGTGCAGCCCAAAAGTTTGAGGGATTTGTTATTTTGTCTTTCTACATCAGTTTCGCTCTTCTAGGACTCGGAGGACCTGATTCGTCGTCGGAGTATGATAACCCGCTTCAGATTATTTAGTTATGGAATGCTTCAGTCATGTCCTTGGACTCGGTCTTGTCCTGTTTCTCCTCTATATGATTTCTCCCAGTGTCTCTCTAGGTGTCGGAGTACCCTCTTTCGTGTGCTTGATTGCCTTCTCCTACGTCTGCCGTTTCAATGCCGCAAAGGAGGATTTGCAAGCGCAGCCAAATCGTCTACGAGTATAGCCCTTCTTTTACGGTTCTCCTTTTTTTGGTTTTCTTCTTTTATTTCTTTGTATAACCCGCATCTGAATAAAGTTATTTTTTTTAATTATACAACTTTTTTTTTTTAATTATACAACTTAGTAACTCAAAAATAGTCTAAACGGTTCTCTGTTGATATGAGTTAATAATGAATCATATCAACAGACAACCGTTACCTCGTACGGTGAGGGACTCTGTCTTAAACGGCAGCGATTTAGACTATTTTTGCGTTGCATAGTCGATCTTTAATATCTTTGCGTAGTCGATACTCATCAGTCTATAATATTGACGGAAATCAAAACTATAATTTTGTTAGCAAGAGTAGAAACGACACACAAAGCGAGCATGGGAGAAATATACTAGAGGAGAAAGACGACGAGAGCGAGTCCAAGACATGACTCCACATTGGGCCATGAAGATACATTGATGTATCCGAGAGTCCCTCCACAGCTCCACTCACACACAAGTGTCACTGATATAAAAGAAGAAAAGAGCAAATCCCAAAAACTTTTGGTCTAGACAGGGCGTTGGTGATCACCTTAACAAAAATGAAACACTCTATGATTGTTTTTTATGCTTTATTGTATCCTTACTTTTTCATTCTATGTATTGGTCTTTTTAAAAACTGCATGACTTCGAGCCAAAAAATGAAACACTCGCCTACTTACGGCACATGTTTTCATGAAGAATTGTTTATTTTTTTGCAAACTTGTTTTGACTTATGAACAATAACGCTGCAAGATCGGATGCAACGATGAGTATTGTATGTGTGCATGATGATGACTTAAAGTATTTGCTTCTAGGATCATGTACAATTAAGAATTAGCCATCGTTATGCTTTTTCTCCTTGATGATGAATATTATAGTGTTGGACTAGTTACTGTTTGCATGCTTTCGGTCATCATTTATATTTTGCATGAAAAAAAATTAAAAATATATTTTCTTTGATTTTTGTGATTTGTGTGATGTAATTTTTTGTGTTTTGTATTTTGAGTCAAGCAATCATATAAAATAGCCAATTAATTTACGGCTAGGGGGCTCTGTATTTTCAGTCAATAACGAAACTTTCATCACACTCCAAAAATCAGTCGACATATATTGAAATGAGGAAGAAGGGACTTTGTGTTCAGTTTATTTTTTGCGTTGCGGAGGTGATATTTAACATTGATTCACAAAACCAAATTAGAATAGGAACCAAAATCCATACATATGTAATGTACCGCCAGGACTCAACTTTATTTTATATATATGTGTGTGTAAAATAATAACGAGGATAATGGACAAAAAGATAAAGATGAAAAAAAATTAAAAGGAAAGAAGTTCCATAAAATCAAGGGAATTATAACACAAAACATAATCCAAGAAGGATTTTGAACTCAATACTCTCTATATATAATACAAATTAAGTTTGACTAACAAATTGTGCGATTACAGAGGGTCTACAACATTCATCATCAAGGAGAAGAGCATAACGATGGATAATCGTAAGCCGGTCACGTCTAATGAGAATGAGAATAGCATGGGTAAGTTTTGTACATGGTGAGTTGATCGGTGATATATATATATATATTTTTTTTTTGTGTGTTTGTGTGTGTGTGTGTGTGGTTTCGATGGTTGTTTGATTCTTAATTAATGGCTCGATTTCACATGATTTTTTTTTTTGGAACATAGGTCATGGGAGCAAAAAGTTTACGTCATCGCCATGCACATAGTCAGCGCGTCGTCCGCTCTTGCAGCATTATTGTTCATAAAACTCAACAAGATCCCCATGGATGACTTGCAAAACCTTGATGGATTTGCTATTTTGTTTTTCTACATCAATGCCGCTCTTGCAGGACCAGGAGCACCCCCAAATCAGAACTCGTCGGATCCTGATATCCCACGTTTTGGTTTTTTATTTGGCGAATGCCTCAGTCATGTCTTTGGACTCGGTCTTGTCGTCTTTCTCCTCCATATTATTTCTCCCAAGCTCGCTCAATGTGTCGGAATACCCTCTTTCGTGTGCTTGATCGCCTCCTCCTTCATCTGTCTCTATGCCTCGAAGGAGGATTTGCGACTAAACGAAAATCGTCTATAAGCATAGCGTAGCCCTTCTTTTATGGTTCTCCTTTTTGGGTTTTCTTTTATTTCTTTGTAGCCGCATCTGACTAAAGTTTTTTATTATTAATATGATAAAGTTGATACATGATCGACATGTAAAAGAGATTTAATCAAAGAAGGTACATAAAAATGAAACACATTATGTGCTGTTGAATCAAAGTATCTTGCCAAAACATCAACGACTCTATTGCAGTTCCTAGGAATAAATTAAACCTTCATAGACGAATAAATGAAACCTTCATAATATTCTGTGATATTTTAGATATGAATAAAGTTAGTTTTCAAACTTCTTAAAACGAAGGTTAGTTTACAAATTGTCAAATTATATAAAGTCTAAAAACCAAATCTCCCAACAAAATTCATAGTTACTTTTGTTCGGATTGATAGGTTCAACCGTTCAACATCGGTTTTGTTCGGTGGTCCGGTTTAGACGAATTGTTAATTTTTACCTCTTTATTTTTTTCTTTCTGTAAACGACTTGTTTGGTGAGAAGGAAGAAAAAACTCAAAACTCAAATACTGTAATTGGTTTCGTTCTCTGGTCAAGAAATCCCCAAATTAAGAATCTCTTAGGGTTCTCTCTGTTAACAACATTTCTGTGCGAAATCGATTTGATCAAGTTTGGGTCTCTCTCTCATGAAACCAAGAATCTCGTAGGGCTTTCTCGTCGAGGCTAACCCGAAATCTGAGTTTGTAGTCCAGCTCAGATTCTCCCATGTTGACCTCTCCTTGCTCTTCTTCGTCTCTCCTCTGCCATCGCCCAGCTCTCTCCAGCTCGCGCTCCAAGTTTAGGGCTCCGTGTCGAACTGTCTTCTCTCCTGCTCTCACCCAGATTTCCCCAATTACTGCTTCACCTTCTAAGTCCGCCAAGCACGTACGTTTATTATCTCGTTCCTCTGTTCGTTCAATTACGAATCCCCTGAGGGAAATCTTTGGTTGCGTTTGGAGTTGCGATTGAATTTTGTTACTCTTGCTTTCTGAGATGATGAAGAATCAATCTTTTTGTCTTCAATGTGTTTGAACTTTGGTGCTACTTTATACTTTCTGCAGAAATGGAAGATTTTGTGCTTTAGAAATGAGGATTCAGCTCCTGAGAATCCGGAGCAATTCGTGCCGGAGGAAGTCGTTAAACCAGATCAAGAGTATCCTTCTTCAGATAATAAAGATTGCAAGACAACTCTTCAAAAGGTTTGATATCCAATTTTGATATTAGGGTCTAGACTCTTAGTTCTTGGCTGCAGCAAAATCTCATCTTTGGCAGTGAATTGTTATGTATCTTCAAAACGATTCTCACCTTCTTTTGATCTGGATTCTGGAAATTGATGAGTTTAAGTGAGAATTGAGGCAAAGTCTGTGTATTTTGTGTTCTAAGTATATAAAAAAATGCACTTTGTTTCAGGCTGCAGATGCAGTGTTGAAAGCCATTGGAACTCGTTGGAAGGTACCATGGACTGCAGAGACCATTGTGCAGGTACCTTGTTCTTACTCAGCTGCTTTTTGTAATGCCGCCACATCCAATTTTAGATTTTTAAACAAGAACATTGATGAAACCTATCTAGAATCTGTGCACTGGATCATTCGTTAAGGAATATGGATAGCTTAAGATGTGGTTTCTGAAAGTAGAGACATTTAAACGTGTGCTATATATCCCTGACTAGAAACCATGTACTACTTCTTGTCTCTAAAAGTCTGTATTAATTAGATTTTGGCTGTTGAAAGGGGATGGCTTTGAATCAGTAGTACTAAAGATGTATTGGGTAGATGCAAAACAAACGGTTATATACCGAAGTATTCATTTCCTTGGTCAATCGTGTAATCATCTGTCATGCTCTATATAAACTTTTTTCAGGTAATGGTTTTATGGGTAGCTGCATTCTGGTTCATTGGATCATGGATGATCCCTTTCATGGCGCATATATCAGGTTTCCACAAAGACTCGCTCACATTCAGAGGCCAAGCTTTGTTCAGTCTTATAACCGATGTAACGGAAGGTCTAGCTGGGATTGCTATCCTCCACCGTTGCCTCTCCATGTTCCGTCCACTTGCAAGTGATTGGTTCCGCTTCACCCTCAAAGGAAACTGGCAGCTAGACGTTATCATAGGCTGTTTCATGTTCCCTTTCGTTAACCGTCTCTCCCAGCTAAACCTCAATCTCTTGCCTCTCCCACCAACTTCAAGTCCGATCTCACTCTCAAGTGTCGAGCAGTCGATAATGGCTAGAGACCCAGTGGCAATGGCGCTGTATGCGGTTGTGGTGTCGGTTTGTGCACCGGTTTGGGAGGAGATAGTGTTCAGAGGGTTCTTGTTGCCGTCTCTGACTAGGTACATGCCGGTTTGGTGTGCGATTCTTGTGAGTTCTGTTGCGTTTGCGCTGGCGCATTTCAATGTGCAGAGGATGTTGCCGTTGGTGTTCCTGGGAGTGGTTTTGGGTCTGATATTCGCAAGGTCAAGGAACTTGTTACCTTCGATGCTGTTGCATAGCTTGTGGAATGGCTTTGTGTTCATGGAGTTGATGCGATGATGATGATGAATTGATGATGAAGATGACTTGTCTTTTGTAGGTGTCTATTTTTTTCTTATTCTTGTTGTAATTGATTCAAGTTACGATTTTTAGATCTTTCAATTAAATGGACAGTTCACGTGTAAAAAGAAAACAAAAATTGTCAAATAAAAGGAGCTTGTTACAAAAAAAACATAGAAACTAGCAAACCACTAATTTTTATATTTTAAGAATTAGTGGCTTAATAGCACTATATGGCAGGCTACTCCAGTTTTAGCCTTCTGGATGAACTTTTTGCTTACTTAAAAAGTTAAGAATATTTAGGGCCAAATTAAAGAAAATCTAAAAATTGTCTAATGTTCTAAAAGAAAAAGGATAGGCCGTTCAAAACTGAGTTTTTATACAAGGTTTGAAAGTTAAATGATTGGTTGAACAAAACAAAAGCAAAAACACATTCGATTTGGTCTTCAAATTTCTCTTTCAACCTTTTTCTAACAATTAGACCAAGCTTTCATTTTCATGGATATGGAGCAAACTATCGAAAACGACATGCACACACATGCTATACATGTGTGTCAAGATGTGAATCAAGTAAAGAAAAAAAGAAAAAAAAAATCAGAGATGTGATTTTAAGTCTTACCACTTTCTCAATTAAGGTGGTGATATGAATTATCCGGCTCTTGAGCTCAATTAAGGCCAACTAATCCTTCTTCAACCTACAAATCCATTACTAATACTGACAAACAAAAAAATCCATTACTAATAGCTTTTCTAGTTCTTTTAAAATATATCTTTCCACTTACCGTTAAAGTTTGAGATATTTATTTAGATAACTTCGCCAATCTTCCTTTCTCTTTTCTGTCTATAGAATCCGATAAGTATATATGCCATATTTGGCGGAGAGATTATATAAACATGTTCACGACCTTATACTATTCTGTATAGAACTTTTCAATCCCCTTGTTGGTAACTTTTTGTTTCATAATGAAAGATTTTAAACAACTTGATCTTCCCTGTTGTTTACATTTTGTTTTGATTAATAAATAATATACACACTTTAAATATGCAAAATTACTTTTGGCTGCTTATCTATTTCTTTATCTGCATATTTCCTCTATCCAAGAACTGAACTTTACCTTATTATAACAAATTTTCAACTTAGAGACAATCGAATTGAGCCGAACATACATCGACCTCCTCAAGACCATGTCTAATTCTGTCAGCCGAAGCCATCGCCGTCAAATCAGACACACTTGGTCAACATATTTCGTGGTCAAGCCTCCGATCTATCAAGATTGTGCTAGATTACGCTTAGCAAAAAAAAAAAAAAAAAAAAAAAAAAAAAAAAAAAATCTATCAAGATTATGCTACTTTCTTTCTCTAATTTCATAAAGTTGCATAGATCGATATTCTTAGATAGTGACCAAAAATATAAAATAAGTTATTTGATTGTGATTTCATTTAGCGGCTTATGAATGTAAATCACACTTACATATTTTCCACAAAACATCGAATCATTATCTTAGACAAATTAAGTTAGGTTACGATCTCCTATAGTTTATTGGAGAATCTCAATATCTCGTATTTTATAACAAAACTTCTGAGTAAATTCAGTTTCAATTCTTGCAGGTAGACGAACTAGTTTGTTTCCCCTAAAAACATTATGGTTTATAGAATGATGTGTAAATTAGCATGATATATAATTATATACATGTTTTGATATAAATAAGAAAACTTGGTATCAGAAAATTTTGCAGTTCTTTTGCTTTAGAATTTCCCAACCTTTCAAAGTCCCTCGCTGCAGTAACTTAGTATTTTTCGTTTGATGAATGAAAACGTTCAACTAAAGAATTGGATGATAAGCTTTGGTTTTCGAGAAGATGTGATAGCCTCTTTGGCACTAGGTTGTTGAAACATTTGACTTTACAAAACTTCATGAAAAAAAATGCATTTCAAAATTCTCAGAGGAAAATTTCAGCGATGAAAAAGAAAATCAAAATTATAAGATAAAGTTAGAATGGAAAAATGAAGATAAAGTCCGCGAAACACTATTTGATACAATTAGCAAACTAGTAGCTCATATTTGTATGTGTTTATCTATATAATATACATATTGATGCACTGTTGCACAAAATAAAAAGAGTCATATTGATGCATTGAGAATTTTATCGGCGAACTCTATTACTTATTTTGTAGTAGGAATTTTAAAATTATTACTCAACAAAAAAGTATGATCATTCATAAGTGGTAGAAACGGGACATTATCTAAGGAAGTATGAAACATGACATAGAATCATTGAGTTAATTAAGATGTTTCTGATGATCCAAATGTGATTTCATTTCGTAGAATACTGTTTCAGTTATATCATATCCGAATTTAAATACAACATTGAATTTCAAACAAATGTTCGTGAAATTGAAAGACATACGTATGTTTTATATGTCGACAAGACGGCATTTGATTTATACTTTGGAAAATATAGACTAAAATTTTAATCTTACGCCGGGTTTAACTAAATGAAAGTTATTTTATTATTTACATGCAACATTATTTAAAAAGTAGTGGAAGGCATATGTGGATATTAGCGAACTCCAAAGATGATCCAAGAAGACCCAAATTAAGCATTAATTCATGTGTATTACATACAATTTCAGAAATATAAACTGATTTTCTTTCGGCTAGTTGATAGTGGAACCGATAATCGAGGGTAACCAGTTATGAAATATCTTTCTTTGTTTTCTCAAACAATTTGGCACTAAACTTATCTTTTTATTCTAGAAAAAGTGGGTCAATTAGACTATTAGAGTATTAAACTTCATGATGGGCGTAATAATCAAGAATAATCTTAGTTGGCCATTTACCAAATCAAGAAAAAAGAAAAGAATTCTAGTTGTGTTATTATATGAACTGCTTAAATGCATGCTAACAAACAAAAATTGACATGTTGTAGTCTTTTGCAAGAAACTTACACAGAAATAAAAACTTTTGCGCTGATGCGAATTATAACAATAGATAGATAGTGATATTTTGATTAATTTCATTCTTATGTTCCAACATGCCTGAAATACAGACTTCTTAGCTTTCTCTTTATACTTTTTTTTGCATGCTATTGAACTTGTATCTTAGTAGTGGTGCATGGGTCACAAATCTAAAATCTAACCAATAGATACACCCCATTGGTTTAATTTTCAATTAAGGAAAAAGTGAAGCCCCGTTACATAGAAAATAATTGACGGGGTCCAGTGATGGCCGCATAGTAAACCAACCTTCATGGATGTAACGTTGCTCCTCTGACCCGAGATGGGCCACTTTCCTTTTCGGTCTTTTTCTTTCCTTTTCTTTACAGTCAGCTTTGCCCTTTTCTCACATGATATTTACAATCTTACCACTGATTGATTCTCGTTTATGGGTCCACAGGATGGCTTTTAAATGTGATCAAGAAAAGCCCATGAAACTTTCCCTGCTGGTTTCCCTAAAACACCCTTTGATCTCGGAGCTAATACAACTCGTTTGAAAACGTAATCTACGGCGGAGATAAGGGCCAGATTCGTCACTTTTGGGAAAGAATTATTGTCCCATGAAGACTTCAAAAGTCAAGACAGTTACGTTTGATTAGATGAATCATGTGTGACTGACTCTTCATTCTTCAGTTAAGTTCGTTTTTCTTGTTGCTGAAATAAAATGTTTTGACAATGAGAGAAAAAGGATTGACGTTCTACTGAGTAATTTTATAGTCTTGTCTATGAATAATACTAAACAAAACCACCTTAAAATGATAGATGATCAAATCTTACTATGGAAAATCTTTGGATTTTAGAACGAGAAGAAAAATATCTCACGAAACCCACCAATTTAGTCATGCATTTAATGTTTAGCCAAAACAAGTTTATTCAGAAATGGGGTCATATAAAATGGTCCACTATTCATAGTGAAAATTTCTCAAACACTTGTTTTGAGTTGATCTTGTCTTTTACAAGAACTGAGATCACAGAATTTATAAACAAAGCAGTACTAGTATTTTTCTAAACACATACTTTTTCCTCCTAAAAGTTGGATCCTAATTAAATGTTGACAAAGACCGGTTCAAATGGGGTCGGCGAGAACTGGGTTAAACAAAACAAAACAAAACAAAACACTTGGTTATAGAAAATTTTAAAATAAATCTTCTAACCGAGATCTTGACAAGAAAAAACCAATAAAAGTTTTAAACTCTATCTTTTGCCCTTGCATTTTGATTCAGTATATACTTTAAGTTAGACATAATTTTACAAAAATCATTTAAACCACATTTAATCGAATGAAATAAAGAGCTAACGGGATGTCTGAATAGTGAATGTACAGTATATGTTATTGATTCGGATTGGACAGAGGCTAAAAAGGAGCAAATAGATCGAATAAAAAGTTAAGCATAACATTTCTAAGGAAAAGAAAGATAATGTGTAAATTACAAAAGAGCCAAATAAGCCAAAAATTACATTAAACAACTTTTGTTTTTTCCGATTTGTTTTGTAAAGGAAACGCGAAAGAGAGAGAGAAGAAGAAGAGAGGAAGAAGTTGGCTTTAAAGAGAGAGAGAGACTCGTGGAGGCTCTACTGAAGCGATGCGTGGAACATAGCTGACACAAAATGGCCACAACATCTTCTTCTTCTCCGCCTTATAACGACGATACATTCACAGCAATCTCCGATTCTTAACTCTAATCCCTCTTCCCCGATCTCCCTAAGTAATTTTCCCCAACAGGTACGCATTTTCCGAATTTTCTCATGCTGCATGTTTATTACCAATTTCTCAATCGAGATTTCGGTTTTTTTTTCTTTTTCACAGAGATATGGCGGAGACGACGAAGGTGATGTATATAGTGGTGGTCGACGATGTGGATGCGGCGGCGACGGTCGAAGAAGACGGAACCGGGAATTGGAAAGATTCGTTCCGGTATACGCGTCCGGTTTTGCAGAGCACTCTTCAGCTTATGGGATGCAAAGCGCGTCACGCCTTTAAGGTTGTTCATCGATTTTTTACCCCTTTTTAAATTTAAAAACAAAATTTTGTTTTCACATCGCTTTCATCGAAGTTCTGATCTTTTTTCATCATTTAGAACTTTTTCTCTTGTCGTTTAATGGTTTTGAGTATTATTTTCATTTCGTTTTTGATTATATACCAGTTTGGATGGTAACATTTTGCCAACGAATTGGCATCTCTAGTAAACTTTTCTGGATTCTGGAACAGTGATGTGTCTGAATTTGGACAGGATTAAAGCACGTTCCTCAAATTTGGCATTACTATGTCGACCGACATGGCATCAGTTAATTATTGTCTGTATATTAGAGATCTTTTCTTAAAGCAGCATTTTTCATGCCTTTGTTGATTTTGAGTTTTTGATAGATGCTAAAGTTCTGTTTTTTTTTTTAATTGTGAGCAGATTAGTAAAAGGGTTTTTGAGTTAATAAGAAGTGAAGGATCCTTAATCCTATCGCCTACCTCGCATGCGAAAGAATCTGAATTTGGGAAGACAGTTGATGGTGTAGAAAAGCTTAACAAAGCTAGCTCTTTGCCTACTACCGATGGTGATGTTGACAAGTGTAAAAGTAAACCGTTCGAGATGTACAAGAGGCGCACAACGGTGGTTGTTCCGAGAGAGATATTTGTAAATGTGGTCTGTGATGCTCTCGCTGAATACAAGTATGTGGGTCATGACCAAAGAGCAGACCTGATTCTCGCTTGCAAGTAAAATCTCTTACCTTTAGTAACATAAATGCTCTTACTTTTCTAAGAAACTCTTTACACTTTATCATTTGATTCTACTGAAGTTGTCATTAATAAAAATAATGTTAACTTAGTCTTAGAACTCTGTTTTTTATGTGTTCAGATTCATTCTTTCTTGCATAAAGGTTTTAATTCAATGCTAATATTACATTAGTCATAGACTCATACCACATATGTCTCTCATCTTGTAACCGCTTTTGATCTTCTTCCATTTTTGCAGGATTCGAGAAAGGAAAGAATCTGTGACGGTTCTGCTTTGTGGCACTAGTGGCTGTGGCAAATCTACACTCTCTGCACTTTTGGTATTTATAGATAAAGACATAAAAAAAGCTTTGGTCTTTTGGTTACAAACGGTTTCACTTCTTTCTTCAAAAGCTTACAATGCTGCATTTTTGTGTTACAGGGAAGCAGGTTGGGGATAACAACGGTCGTCTCAACCGACTCAATCCGTCACATGATGAGAAGTTTCGTCGACGAAAAGCAAAACCCTCTGCTGTGGGCTTCAACGTACCACGCTGGAGAGTTCCTCGACCCTGTTGCAGTAGCTGAGTCTAAAGCCAAGAGAAGAAGAGCCAAAAAGCTTGATGGCTACGCAAAATCAACACTTGAGGACGAAAAACCTGACGTTGGGTCAAAATCAACCACCCCTGTGTTGCTAAGCCCCAAGCAAATGGCTGTAGAAGGATACAAGGCGCAAAGCGAAATGGTGATTGACAATCTCGACAGGCTCATCACTTCTTGGGAAGAACGGAAAGAGTCTGTCGTCGTCGAAGGTGTCCATCTAAGCCTCAACTTCGTGATGGGGCTGATGAAGAAGCATCCTTCGATTGTTCCTTTCATGGTGTACATAGCGAACGAGGAGAAACACTTGGAACGTTTCGCGGTCAGAGCCAAGTACATGACTCTGGACCCGGAGAAGAACAAGTACGTCAAGTACATACGTAACATCAGAACGATACAGGACTACTTGTGTAAACGAGCTGACAAACATCTTGTCCCTAAGATAAACAACACGAATGTTGATAAGAGCGTGGCTGCGATACACGCAACGGTGTTCAGCTGCATGCGAAGGCGAGAAGCAGGGGAGCAGCTGTATGATGCTACCACGAACACGGTCTCTGTGATCGACGATGAGTATAGGAACCAGTGTACGGCGAACTCGTTGAGCTCCAAAGGAATGTTTCAGTTGATTCAGAGGAAAGGCTCTTCTAGGAATCTGATGGCGCTCTTGAATACTGATGGCACTTTCGCAAGAACGTGGCCGGTTAGTGGTAAGGTTGATGAGAGCGGGAAGCCTGTCGTGTGTAATGAGAAAACAGAGGAGAATGGAATGGAGCATCCGGTTTATGGATATTTGCAGAAAGCAGAACCGGTTAACCTTCAGTTTGGTTTGTTTGGGATCAGTGCTTGGCCTAGTGATGGAGCAACGAGCCGTGCAGGGAGTGTAGATGACTCTAGAGCTGACTTGGCTGATAATGGAAGTAAGCAGTTCTCTTCTTGCTGTAGCTCGCCGAGGATGTCTGAAGGAACATCTAAAGAGGTACTCTTGAAACTATTTCTTGTTTATTGATTATGTAGAAGGTTGTTTGATGATTTTGTGTTGTTTTTGCTTCAGCTTAAGGAGGAGCAGTCTGTGAATGGAAGCGATGAGGAAGTGGAGGATGATCCTCCTGAGCAAGATACTGATTTTAGCGATGACGATGACAATAACAAGCGAGACCATGAAGAGGTAAAAGCTTCTTTTAATGGTCCTTCTTGTATATTGTATGACTTTTGTTTCGTTGTGCTAAAGAGTGTTTTTTGTTTTACAGGTGGGATCTGTTGATGAGCAATCGACAAAGTCAGATGAGGAGTACGATGATCTTGCAATGGAGGACAAAAGCTACTGGACAGACGAGGAGGAAGAGTCTAGAGATACTGTTGCGGTGATGTCTGAGAAAAACCACCACAAGCAGGCAACGAAAGAGGATAAGTACATACAGAATCTAGACCTTTTCATGCGGACTGCGAACCAGCAGCTGGTCGAGCCGCTTCAGCTATGTGCCTCGCTGCTCACGTGCGAGAATGGGAACGCGAGGCTCTGGTCGGCGGGTAAAGAAAAGATGAAGAAACGTTCTTTAAGCATCTCGGCTCTTGGGAAATACTGTTCTGGTTTGGGTGATCCGATCCTCTTGGGAGCTCCATGATCAGTTTGCTAGCAGGATCCTTTAGTGTGTTATTTCCGGTTTAGCTTTAGTTTAAGTTTTTTCATTTCTTGTGTGTGTGTGTGTATAGTTTAACTTGTCACAAAATGTGGGGTTTCTTAAAGTGCGTTTCTTTAATGACTTTAGACTCTTAATTCATGTCACTTAGTGTATTTAATTCTTGACACTGAACACAAATAAAGCTTGTTCATAGTTCTTTTGACGGTTAAGTGAAAGTCTGTAGTCAGAAACGGTAGCAAAAAGTGGGTTTAAGAATTTATTTAGCTGATTGAAATGTTTAAAGCATTACTGAAGAAAGCTATGATCAACATGTACTCTATGATACATTATGTATGGACTATGGAGTGCTATTTGACTATTTCACAAACTTATTTTGAAAGCCTTGTTATTTCATTGATTATCTTATATAGCTTTACAGATTTCCAGCAGAATTTTATTTTGTTTAAGGATTTCTAAGCAGAATTGTGATGGAAAAGGACATTTTTGGAATTATTTCGAAAGCCGTCTAAAACTATAAATTACGTGATTAGTTTAAAGTTTCATATTACGTTAACTTAAGATGAACTCGATGTCTCGATGACAAAATACAATAAAATACACAAGATGACATCATCAAATTAAATTCTACAATATAATGGAATCCAGAGAATCTGGCTTGCCATCGTTGGACGACTTTAGTCTCTTAGAGACACGTATAATTCACATTTCGGTATACATATAATCATATTAATGAAATGCATAATAATTTGTGTGCGTCTGTGAATCTGCTGGCATGTTGCTTACCAGCAGTTGGCAATCAAAATTCAAAGATTCTTCTTTGTTAGTGTTTACCTTCTTCTTCTAATTCTCTGCAGAAAATACTTTCCAAATCCAATTTAATTATGTGTTTGTAACTTTTTTTTTATAAATAATCTTGAGTAAACAAACATTGTTATACCATAACGCCTAAGTGCTAAACTGCTAATATTGTAAAAACATGTTTTCGGTCACATATCATTAAGTTCATTATGAATTAACCATGATGGACCTTATATAATGTTTTAATATGAAGATCAACCTTTCGAGAAAATTATCGAAGAGTTTATATATGTCATGTAGAGATCAATTTTGTTAATATAAATGGTCAAACTATAGCACTGTTGCACGTTTTGTATGGAATTTCCTTTTTACAAAAAACTTTAATTTGTGATAAGGGAGTGCATAGTTGGCTTTATTTAGGCAAGAAAATACAACTTTATTCGGCTGTTACAATCCTTCCTAAGCATAATTAGGGATTGATTACATCATAACAACTATAGTTTAATGGTGAGAATCTAGATATTTTGTTTCTTCCTATAACACTAGTATATTTTTTAGTTTTAACCCCCCAAACTAATATATTATCAAATGGAACCTTTGAATCATAGACATTGTCACATAGAGAGGATCTAGAATCCCCAATTCCCCATGTATGGATCACACACACTAGTCACTTTCTTAGCTTGATTATTGTATCTCTTTTTATAACGAGTATTTATCAAACAAAAAAAATCAGCAACGAAACTCGATAATAGTAATCCTCCTTTTTCAATATCTCTTTCTAAGAATGTTGAAAGTTTTGTAGTTTCATGTTGATAAATAGTTAAATACTAAACTGGAATCTAATTGAACCTTTGGGACGTAGGGTGAGGCTTAATTCTCGTTTATGCATGCTCGCGGCGAAAGTGAATATTCCATAATATTAATTTAAAGACACAACTTGTATAGTTGTAATCAGTCACAACTTTGAATCATTTAATTATCGTTAAGAACTATACTAATATAGTATTATACACGTAATGAATCCCACTTATAGCCTTTTCGAATCCCCATCAGCTCTTACGAAGTCAACTTTCGTATCTCTATATAAACCAACCTTCTTAATGTTCCCTAAACACAAGACCACAAGCAAAAACCAAACAGAAACAATATGGCTGATGGTAACGGTGAACCGGGAAGCTCAATGCACGGAGTGACCGGCCGAGAACAAAGCTATGCGTTCTCAGTCGAATCTCCGGCGGTTCCTTCCGACACATCAGCGAAATTCTCTCTCCCCGTGGACACCGAACATAAAGCCAAAGTGTTCAAACTCTTCTCCTTTGCAGCTCCACACATGAGAACTTTCCATCTTGCTTGGATCTCATTCTTCACTTGCTTCATTTCTACTTTCGCTGCTGCTCCTCTTGTCCCCATCATTCGAGATAACCTTAATCTCACGAGACAAGATGTTGGAAACGCCGGTGTTGCCTCTGTCTCCGGAAGTATCTTCTCTAGGCTTGTTATGGGAGCCGTTTGCGATCTTCTTGGGCCACGTTATGGCTGCGCTTTCCTCGTCATGCTCTCGGCCCCGACCGTCTTCTCCATGTCGTTCGTTGCTGACGCCGGCGGGTAAGCATGCTTGTAAATTAAAATAACGAGTAACGCTTTTTAGTTTATTAACTATGTTCGAAGTGAATTTTCTAACAATTTTTTGACTATATAGGTATATAACGGTGAGGTTCATGATCGGGTTCTGCCTCGCAACTTTTGTGTCATGTCAGTACTGGATGAGCACGATGTTCAACAGTCAGATCATAGGACTAGTGAACGGGACAGCAGCCGGGTGGGGGAACATGGGCGGTGGGGTTACGCAGCTGCTCATGCCGCTGGTCTATGAGATCATTCGACGGTTGGGGTCAACGTCCTTCACCGCGTGGAGGATGGCTTTCTTCATCCCCGGGTGGATGCATATTATCATGGGGATTTTGGTCTTGACATTAGGACAAGACCTCCCTGATGGTAATAGAAGTACACTTGAGAAGCAAGGTGCTGTTACTAAAGACAAGTTCTCAAAGGTACTTGATATAAATGTTAACATCTCCTAAAGTAATCTTATAAGTATATACTAAGTTCTACTGATGTAAACTGATCGTTGTCTAGAATATTTACTATGTGTGGTATATATATTAATGGTCGTTCTGGTTGGTGTTACATTAACGTTTAGATAGAAACAAAATAACTAAGAGTCCAATAAATTAATATATCAGAAATAGTCAAAATAATTTGATTCACTCTCTTAGTAATTTTTTTTAAATACATTTATATAAAAAAAACGAAACCATTACACCGAAGTTATTTTAATCGTTTATATCATCTCTAAATATAAGATTAGACACTCTTTCATGAATTTTTCTATGAAAAAAACAGCGGGAACAGCTTTGTTGAAGATCTTTCATGAAGTTCTCATTTGTTTTTTTTATTATTTGTTAAAGATATTTCCCAAATTTCTCCTTGTTCTTGGTTGAACACTTGAACTTATATAATTTCATGGTGGACACCTTTACCAGGTTTTATGGTACGCGATCACAAACTATAGGACATGGGTTTTCGTGCTGCTATATGGATACTCCATGGGAGTGGAACTCACAACCGATAACGTCATCGCTGAGTACTTTTTTGACAGGTGGATTTTTATAACTCGCATTTAATTAGTTCGCTAATCTATAAACAATATTATAAGAATTGGCCAAGTGGTGTATTATGCCACTGTTCGAGGATTTTTATTATGTAATATATTTTTAGTTAACAATAAAAATCCATTGACCATAATATATCTACTATCTGTAAGACTCAAACTCGAATGTGTGTTGTCATGTTGATACTTGATACCATGCATGCTCAAAGGGTCGGTCGAACATCTACCACATAATTCTTTTTATTTATAACCAGTTAAACCCTAAAATCCAAATAACGTCTATGAATAAAAAGGACTCAACATATGTTGACCATTTTGTAGGTTCCATCTCAAGCTTCACACGGCCGGTATAATCGCGGCAAGCTTTGGTATGGCAAACTTCTTTGCACGTCCCATCGGTGGCTGGGCCTCAGACATGGCGGCTAGGCACTTCGGCATGAGAGGCCGTCTTTGGACCTTATGGATCATCCAAACCTTAGGCGGTTGCTTCTGCGTGTGGCTAGGCCGTGCCACAACCCTCCCGACCGCAGTTTTCTCTATGATTCTCTTCTCACTCGGGGCTCAAGCTGCTTGTGGAGCCACATTCGCCATTATACCTTTCATCTCACGCCGCTCCTTAGGCATCATATCTGGTCTTACTGGAGCCGGGGGAAACTTCGGCTCTGGTCTCACTCAGCTCGTGTTCTTCTCGACCTCCACGTTCACGACAGAACAAGGGCTGACGTGGATGGGAGTGATGATTGTCGCCTGTACATTACCCGTCACTATAGTGCATTTCCCGCAATGGGGAAGCATGTTTTTGCCTTCCACGGGAGATGAAAAGAAGTCTACAGAGGAGTATTATTACATGAAAGAGTGGACGGATGAGGAAAAGCAAAAGGGGATGCATGAAGGAAGTTTGAAGTTCGCCGTCAATAGTAGGTCGGAGCGTGGAGGGCGCGTGGCTTCTGTACCTGATGTTACTCCCGAACACGTTTAAGAGTTACATGCATGTGTGTTTAAATGTGTTATCAATTCCTATTGCTCCAAATGTGTCAGTAGTCGATCGAATTATACGTTTAATTTTATGTAATATCGTAACAATTGTACTGTTTTTTTCTCTTAAATTTTCTACTTGTTTCACTATCTATGTAATTCATGGTTTTAATATCAACTTTTATACAAATCAATTAATTTCGCCTTCCTACAAAATAACCCATTGAGCCAAATTATATCACTTCTCTAGCTCTTGGAACATTTTGTGTTTTAATAAAGCTTTAAGAAAAGCCTAATGGGTATGTTAGGTTCTGAATGATATGGACTTTTGAGGAAGCCTACAAAACCCAATTCTATTTCAGTTTCTTTCTCAGAATTTGCTATAACTTATAGCCCATATTGATAACTTTAGCACTTGATTAATTTACCCCACTATGCATTTGCGTCTAGATTGGCTCATCAAGCATATGCATTTGAGTCTCCTGAACTAAGAGTTAAAGGTCAAACTAATTGTGTATCAATAAAGTTGCTCTTT